TAGTATATGTCACATCAACGCTCTTTTGATCTTTTAATTTTTTTTGTACATCGGTTTGAAAAATGATCCAATTTTTTGTTGGTTTTTATGAATTTGGAGCGGTAGATATACATCTGGCACATCAATCACTGTTATACATTTAAATGGGCTCATTTCTAGGGGTGAGTATGGTCCGGATTGGATCGGATTGGGATAAAATCAGGATACGTGACACCTCTTTTTTGAGTTTATAGCTTTTTTCCTTCCCTCCCAAAGACTTTCATAATAATAAAAACTCATATCTTTCCACCTTTCTCTCCTACCCTACGTTTGTCCCTCGCCCTCAAAGAGTTTCACTCCCACTCTTTCACTATCCACAACTCTTATCCATAAAAAGTTGTCAACAAAAAAAAAAAAAAAAAAAAACCTATCCAAACTCAAAAAAAACAAAACAAAACCTATCCAAACAAATCTATTACTCTCCTACCGCAAACAAATCTCTCCTACCCTCAAACACTTTCAATCCCACTCTCTCACTATCCTACAATAGATTGATATATATAAAAAAAAACAACTCATCTATCTATATCCCCTTAAACCATTACTTCTAACAATCCACTACTGCAAATACATATACTTCATCAACTTCCAATCCATTATCTACGGTTCCTAAAAAATTGGAACCGATCCAATCCGTTTAAATCATGGAACCAATCCGAACCAATCCATTTAAATACGAATTGGAACGGTTTAGGACCACGGATTCACATAATTAAATAACAAAAATATATTTATAACACTTTAATTTTATAAAAATATAAACATAGCGCTATATTAGTTCCACAATAGCAACATATTTTTCTATAATAGCGACATACTGTTCTAAAATTTAAACAACCATAAGAAAATTGGTTTCACTATAAGTATTTAAACCATTACAACTTAAAACTTTAAACCATTACAACTTAAAACTAAAAATCAACAAACAAGAGTAATAAAAGAAGATATTATACGGTTTTAGGTTTGAGTTTAGATTTTATATAGAATTAAGAGAAGATACTATGGGGGAGGATGTATAATAAAAATATAGACTATTTGTATACGGTTCGGATCGGTTCCAATCCGGAACCGTGGGGTTCAATCCGGAACCAATCCGTAAACTACGGATTTTTAATTCTTCAATCCGGAATCGAACCGCGGATTCAAAAAACCAATCCAAACCTATCGGATTGGACTGGACTGGATCGGATTACGGATTTCACGGATCACTTGCTCAGCCCTACTCATTTCAAGGTCTGTTGTAATGATTCAATTAGCGACTAAAAACCAAATTAGTCGGCGACGATTAAAGTTTCAGCTATATTATTTTAGTCGAAATATCTTATTTATTGGTGACCAAAGAAAATATTTAGTTGCTAAATATTCACTAATAGGCGACTAAAAAACTATTAGTCGATGATAGTCTGAACTTTGGGCTACTAAAGATTTAATTTGGTCGGAAAACTGTTTCGGTAACCAAAAATCTTACTTTTGGCAATTAAAAATTTAGTCACCAAAAGTGCTATTTCTTGTAGTGAGTTAATCTAATGTGAGTAGATAAAAGGATAAACGATATCTAATTAATTTGATTTTTTACAAATATATTATACTTGATGTATTTTAAAATATAAACAGTTCGAATCATTAAAATAGGTCTCAAAATATGCCAATTTAGATTCACAACAATGGTTGTTGTGCGGGGTGCACAGCAACCACCCCAAATTCGATTTTTATTAGGTGTTAAACTAAAAAAAAGTGAATGTTATCGTGTAAAAAAATACACTATAACTTCTTTTAGAAATCTTTTTTATGATGGAATATGTCACCTGGCACATTAAAATTTTGTTGAGTGTTACTTATTGGTATATAAATATTACACAATTCGATAACATATATTTTATTTGTCTACTAATTTAAATGTAATTTTATATATTTGTCTACTAATTTAAATGTAATTTTATATATTTTAAATGTTTATACATAAATTTGTATAAATAATATATTTTAAATATTTTATATATTATATTATATTTATTATAAAATAAATATAAATAATAAATCAAAAGCACAGGAACAATTCCAGCAACACATCATTCTCCCACCGCAGCATCCAACTCCAGTTTCTTTTTTTTTTCTTTTTTTATTTTTGAGATAATAACTCCAGTTTCTTTTGTTCCTCTCTATTATTTATTTAATTCATTTGTTTTATGCATGCGTTGCTAAGAGTGAGCATGGTCTGGATTAGATCGGATTGAGGTAAAATCAGAATCAATCCGTTATCTACGGTTTTTGAAAAATTAGAACTAATCCAATCCGTTTAAATCATGAAACTAATCCGAACCAATCCATTTAAATACGGATTGGATTGGTTTAGGACTACGGATTCACATAATTAAATAACAAATATATATATATATATATATATAACACTTTAATTTCATAAAAATATAAATATAGCGCTATATTCGTTCCACAATAGCAACATATTTTTCTATAATAGCGACATACTGTTCTATAATTTAAAAAATCATAAAAAAACTGATTTCACCATAAGTATTTAGACCATTACAAATTAAAACTAAAAACTACAAAACAAAAGTAATAAAAGAAGATATTATACGGTTTTAGGTTTGAGTTTAGATTTTATATAGAATAAGAGAAGATACTATGGGAGGATGTATAATAAAAATATAGACTATTTGTATACGGTCCGGATCGGTTCCAGATTGGAACCGTGGGGTTCAATCCGAAACCAATCTGTGGACTACGGATTTTTAATTCTTCAATCCGGAACCGAACCGCGGATTTAAAAAACCAATCCAAACGTATCGAATTAGACCGGACTGGATCAGATTACGGATTTCACGGATTCCTTACTCAGCCTTATGCGTTGCATTACTGATGCTTACAAAAGGCAGCAGCATTCAGCAGAGAGGAGGAGCTCGGGCAGAGAGCCTTCCAGTTCATATTTGTTCTATAAATTTGTATAATTAATTTCAAAAATGCGTGGGAGTTCTAATTAAAGTCACCATTAATGATGTGATAGTGGTACAATATATGTTGTGTTTTTTTTTTTTTTTTTTTTTTTTGCAATTTTTATCTCACTAGTGGTGAATTTAGAGCTCCTTATTTAGACCTCTAATTAAATCATTACTGAATTAATTTTGAGTAGCTAAATATTTTATTAAGGTGAAGAGTGAAATCATGGCGTGTTTGATGTTTGTTAATTATTTTTTTTTTATAGTTTCAATGTAAGATTTTATTTTATTTTATTAGTTATTTTATTTGAAAAAGTATTTTATTCTCTATAATTTTTTGATCTATAATTAATTTCGAATATAGTGAGTGCTTAGAATTCTCTGCCAATTAAATTATTAATTTTTGACATGTTAAACCAGTCAAGTTTTTATGAAATCATATTATGAAAAATATTTTTCATAAACTAAAAATTATTAAACTTTCTGATTGGATTCAACTTTCATATAAATCTCAATTGAGTTATAAAAATAAAATTGTTGGCAGACACCATTAACTTGTTGTGAGTAAATCTTGAAACCTTAGTCTCATTAAAAATTTTTAAAAAACCACATTAAATTTTATGTGATCAATTTAAACTCCGCATCAAATCAAAAATTTTTAAACTCTTTAGACTTGGTCGATAAATCCAGTGGAAATGACTTTGGGACTTCAAAAAATTATTATGCTTGACGATGATATTTTCTTATGTTTGGAACCCAATTGGAGTGAACAATAAAAACTGATAAGTAAGAAGAAAAGTAAGTGAAGAACCAATATTTTAGTTTTATTTTTAAAAATTGTACAAAAAATAAGAGAGATGATGTGACAAAAAAAATCAAAAACTCAACTTTTAACCTAAATGCCAAAATAAGCCATGTTATTTATATCTTGTCAACTTGGACTACATGCCACATTAGTTGAGTTTTTGTTAAGTGTTATAGTGAAAAAAAAGAAAAAGAAAAAAAAGTAGATGTCACAGTAAACAAGAATACAACCGTTTAACAAAAATTACCAAACAACAGATTTATTAGGGCAATAGATAAAACATGGAACTGATTGAAATAACTGTTCTTGAGATGGACCTTTTATGTAATTTTCCTTAAGAAAAAAGGAAAAAAGAAAAAGAGTAGAGTGCAACCTTTTTTTAATGAAAAAATTTACAAGAAAAATTGCATGGGTAATTATTTTTGCTTGTATGTCATGAATAGTAATTTCTCCTTTTTAAAAATAGTTGTTCGAAATTTTAAATTTGTATGTATTTTTATTTTTAATAAATTCTTTTAATATTTTTATTTTTTTAATTTATATTTAAAAAAGTAAAATATTTATAAAAAGGAATCTAAAAACAATTTAATAAATACAAAAAAATACCAAAATATATTAAATTTTTGAGTTTTTTTTTGTATTCAGTGAATTTTTTATTTGTAAAAAAATATTTTTTATCCAAATAAATAGAGCGATTTTAAATTTCAATCAATAATTTTAATAGAAAAATAAAACAAAAATAATTTAAATCATTCGAATTTAAAGGATAATGTTAGAGATCTAAAAGATTATATTAAATATGTCATATAGATGTGAGACTCACATAATATAAATTTCACATTTATATAAAATATTTGATAAAATTTTTATAATCTCTACTATTTCCAAAATCAACATTGATAGAGACCCTCTTCAATTATCATTCTCATCATTCCACACATACATAACGGGTGATAATTGAAGAAGAAGGTGTAGTGGACCAATTAAGTGATTCAATAAAAGCAAAAGGAGATTCGAAATATTTTTATTTCCAAAAACCGTCGCTTGAGTTGGGGTGCATGAGTCTATGGCCTAGTTTGGCACTACGTCAAAAGCCAGTTTTTTTTTATTAATTTTTTTAAAAAATACTTCTTTATTTTTTTTTATATATTTTAAAAAATATTTAAAAAATCCTATAAATACACATCACTTCAACTTACAATCACTCATTCCAAGAGCGGGAATTTCAATTCCAGAATCCAAACAGAAACCGAGTGAGAAAATCTTGTTGCTCTTTGTGAGAAAATCTCTAACTCCAAAATTTTCTTGGGAAACAATCATTAATCCTGTTCATCACTTTCCCATGTCGTTGAAAAACTAGCTCTCTCAATCAGCTTTCCCTCTCATCTCTCCAGCCAGAGTTTCGAATTTGTTCTTCAATTCAATCTCCTTCCAAATCCTCTGAAATCGCAACTCCTTAATTTATTTTTTCTCAGGAAACAAGCGGAAACCAACTATGGCTGAACCTTTCTCCGAAGTCCGTCTCCCCCAATCCGTCGAATCGATGCTCCAGAAAATCTGTATCGAGCAATTTCAATCGCCTCCAGATACTTCGGTCCGAAAACAGCTTGAATTGCTCGGCGAAGAGGTGTCTCTTGAGATCCTCGGAATAATATGCACACAAAAAATTCGCAAAAGTTTAAGTGGTTTCATAATGTATTTAGCCAAGGACTACGCTGGAGCTCCTACTCAACAAGACATTTATCAATCACCTCATAAACGGAGCTCAGATGATTGCTATAGTCCAGTGAATTCACCAAGTAATTTTTACTTGTTTATTTATTTATTTATTTATTTATTTATTTTTTCAATACTGTCTGTTGTGATGATTACCTTTCTCTGAAGTCCGTCTCCCCCAATCCGTCGAATCGGTGCTCCAGAAAATCTGTGTCGAGCAATATCAATCGCCTCCAGGTACTTCTGTCCGAAAACAGCTTGAATTGCTCGGCGAAGAGGTGTCTCTTGAGATCCTCGGAATAATATGCACACAAAAAATTCGCAAAAGTTTGAGTGGTTTCATAATGCATTTAGCCAAGGACTACGCTGGAGCTCCTACTCAACAAGGCATTTATCAATCACCTCATAAACGGAGCTCAGATGATTGCTATAGTCCAGTGAATTCACCAGGTAACTTTTTTTTTTTTTTTTTCAATGCTGTCTGTTGTGATGATTGGAATTTTGCTTACTTTTGGGTTTTCTGAACTGGTTTTTATACAGTTTAGCTCTGTTTGTTTTCTCCGAAAATGTATTTGATGTGGTCCCGCCCGGAATTTCTTTGTTGTGATGATTGGAGTTTTGCTTACTTTTGGGTTTTCTGAACGGTTTTTATACAGTTTAGATCTGTTTGTTTTCTCGGAAAATGAATTTGACGTGGTCCCCGCCCGGAATTTCTTGTCCAAAGTTTGGTTAGGAGATTAGGATGAGAATGATGGAAACTGTAATTTGAAAAATGTTTGAAGGCCACAAAATCAGTGGCTCAAATGGCTCGAAACTGTCAAAACGACATCGTTTTGCGCCCGAAACTGTCAAAACAGCATTCGAATCACTAAATTTCGGGCCACCTACCATTGCTGCTGTATTTTTTTGCCCCCGAAGCTGTGGTGTGGAAGTCACGAGAAAGTTAATATTTTTGTACAACTCTTGATAGCTTGGCAATCAAATTTTTAGTTTATTGCAAAAACATATAAAAATAAAAAGAAAGTTTAAATTTGTTATAGAATTTTTCTTTTTTTTTTTCTGTAAAATTTTTATCCTCATTAAATTCGTATAGGAATATATATATACTTTATTTTTTTTGTATTGTTTTTAATCAAACAGAGCCGTTAATGTGTATGTTGAGAAATTGGTTATATTTTAGCTTCTTATGCTGTGATGCATATATGCATGCAGCATATGTATAAGATGGTGTTTGAGAAGTAGTTATTTTAATTAACTGTTTAATTTTTTAATAAAGAACGTATAGACTGTAGTGATTGGGTATTTTGGCTGTTCCAAACGGGGGCCTAAGTATGTTGATGGAGGCATCTCAATGTTTTGACCATTTGTTGCCAAAAATTTCCTATGGTTTCTGGTTTTTCTTTGCAAGTTTGTGGGCACATATGCATTTGTATAGACATTCGCACTCTAGAGAATGACATCAGGGACCCAAGAGACAGGTTTCAAAAGCCTGTTAAGCTTATATGCACACATCTAGATCATGTGTTGTAATTTTCATTTTTTTCTTTGCATTGAATGCATTTAACTGTCCTTTTCCGATGTACCAAAAAAAGAATGCATTTGACTGTGATGAGTCTCCCTTGATTTGAGTAAAAATTTAAGTAAAACACAATTTGGTATTAGTTTGGGTCCAGCGAGTGGAGGGTGTTTTGAGTGATTTTTTTACCTAAATTTAAATTTGATGTAGGTTTGAGTCAAGTATTTTATATCACACCTAGATTTTATTCTGTTGTATTTTTTATTTTATTTTAATTTTGCATTAAATGCACTCAACTCAACTAGATGGGTCTAATGTCTTTTTTTTTGAAGATGAGTTTTAAATTCCAGTCTGTAGAGATGAGATTTGTGTCAAGTTTCTCTTCACATTTTTATGTGGGCGCAGATGGTGTTGGTCCTCACTCACAAGTCTCAATGCGGCCAGTATTCTCACCGAGTTCGGAGGGGGCAAGCACTCAGAAATTGAGTCCTCAGTTGCTAGCCCTGAGTGAACTAGAGTTCAGGAAAGGATTCTTGATTCTAAGTTACATTGGGAGGTGACATTTTTTGTCTTTCATTTCACTGTTAATTGCAGTCTATTGTCATATACCAGGTTGGGAAAATTGAGCAGCTGTTTGTTATCTGCAGTAACAAGTTGGAGGACTTCATGTCAGCCGATGACGTTTCAAATCTAAAAAATCTTCCAATGTGGAGTTTTGAGGCAAAAGTTTGGGATGATTATGGTGAGCAGATTAAACACTGCAGTGATAAAGACCGGCCTAAGGTGACTCTTCGCTTGTTCTCATTGTTAGAATAATATATGATTAGTGGGGTTATTATTTTGTAATTATTTTATGCCTTAGGGCTTCTTTGTAATTATTAATCTTTATTAATTTAAATGGAGGATGATATCCTAATCATTCCCTAATCTTTGTATTCTCAAAAACATCATGGTATCAGAGCCACAATCCTAAACTCTAAACCCATCCACCACACAGCCACCACAAAGCTCCCGTCTATGGTTTGACTGTTTTTGCCAGAGTCAACCCTATGTCAACCACTGTCACAGGTGCCCACACGATGGTTGGTCATTGTCGACAGGCCTTCTAGTCTAAGTCGACCTCTGTGGTTCCAGCCGACAGGCCATCGTGCCTAGTCGCACGCTTGGGGTCTTAGTCGCACTCTTCATTCACTATCGCAGATCCCCAGTTACGTGTTTGGTCCCTATCGACAACCATTCTGGCTTAAGTTACCACTGTGGTTGTGTCGTCTGCCTTGCCAACTGCCCCTGGCAGTCTCTCAAACCTAGCCGACAGCCCCGAGGCTTTCTTTGGCTTCCGTCGTTTTCCTCTGTGCTGTCTCCCTTGTTTGACCTTTTGTTGCCTTCTTTGATGAGGTGTTGACCTTGTTTTGTTTTTGCTTTTCTTCTTTTATTCTTTATTTATTTTTATTTTTTTTTAAAAAAAGGGTTGATGAGTTTTTAAGTCTGTAATTTTCTTAGTGGTCATTGTATTTGTATTTCTCTATCTTTCGGGTTTGTGATTGACACTAGTTTTGTTGAGGTGTCGGTAGTACAGTATTTATGGCAGATTCCACCAGTGTGCCCACTACTTCTCAAACACCTAGGAGTGAGAGTTTCCCTATACCTACTACTATGACTGATAACCCCAATCCTAGTCTTAAAATCACTACTTCTCTATTTAATGGTTAGAACTATCTCGCGTGATCGCAAAATTTGACTATGTTTTTGAAGAGCAGAGGGAAGATGGGGTATCTGGATGGCCGAATACAGGCACCTAACACAACTAACCCGGGTTATGACCAATGGAAGATTACCAACTCTTTGATTATGAGTTGGCTTATTCATTCGATGGTACCAGACATTGGCGAGGGCTACTTATCTATGGAGGCTGCCCAGGATGTTTGGGATGCTATGGCTACCACCTATTCCCTGCAAAGGGAATTTCTCACAGGCATTTGAGTTACGCCGCTCTATTGAGAGCTCTGTTTAGGGGAGCAGACGGTTCTTCAGTACTTCACCTTCCTCACCAATGGCTGGAAACGCCTTGATCACATGCAGGATTATAAGCCTGTTTGCACTGCTGATTTAGTTGGGTACCAGAAGTTCATTGCACAGGCAAGGGTCTTCAAGTTTTTGGCCGATCTCAATATGGAGTATGATCCGATTCGTAGACGGGTTTTGAGTATGGACACTCTTCTTTCACTTCAAGAGGCTTTTGCCTATGTACAAAATGAGGAGAGTCGCCGGTCTGCTATGATGTCCCCAGTCTCTATTGACTGCTCAGCATTATTGTCTACCTCTAGGGATGGCCTCAGCCTAACTCTCATCCCTCCGTCTGTCGCTTCTGTATTCTGTGATTATTGTAAGAAGCCGTAGCATACTCGTGAGACGTGTTGGAAGCTTCATGGGCCTCCATCCGGGGGTCGAGGTAATCGGTCAAGTTCTAGGAGGCCGGTCAGGCCTGTCACGCCCCAAGCTCCGTGACAACGCCGCACACTCATATAAGTGAGCATGCAAGGCTAAGAGTCCAACACATAACCAACAATGTAAAATACTCCAATTAAATCCTTAATTATCATAATGCTAAAATCCATAAAAATTGATTATTCTTATCATATGAAATTATCCACCTAGTCCACTAATAAAATCCATTAACAAAACAAATAATCCAAGTACTTAAATCATAGTCCTACTCTCGGCACTCCCACATGTAAAAAATCCCGCGCAGCTCTACTCTTCAGAATCTGAAAAAATATAAGGGTAAGCTAGATAGCCCAGTAAATAACCAACCATCACTGCTAGCTGGATCAAGTATACAAATAAATAAATAAATAAATCGATAACCAATAAATATAATTTTTTCTACAGTTCAATAAATGAATAATTATTTGTAAGATGGTTTCATAGCTAAAAATAAACAATGTACAATACATTTTAAATGAAAAGCCAACAAGATAATTCAAAGTAATTCGTTGTTCAAATCGATGGTTCGATATTTAGATGGTTCAATGATTTGATTCACAAAACCCAAGTCTTGGTGACTACGGTCACTTAGCCCGTGACAAGGCTCAGAACCACACAAAGGCGGTGGTAAAGCCCCAAAAGAAACTAGTTTCTGTGCTAATAAATACCCCCATTGGCTAGGGTCCAAATCTAGTCAGACTAGAGTAATGTTCAAATATTCAAACAATACACAACTTTAAAATAAAATATTCGATATTTCCAGAATAAACATTTGGTACAATTTTCAGAATAGTTTCACAAAATATTCAAATAACTTTCATAATAATATTCGATGTTGTTTTATACTTGACCCATATTTTATTTTAAGAGAAGAAGGCTATAAATAAATATTTATAATTTTAATCGATTCAATAAGAATAAAAAATGAATCAACAGTGATAGAAGGTTACTTACACCAAACGCTTAGAACTAATATTCCAACACCAATTCCAAAACACCAGCTCCACCACTTCAATCACACAAACCTAATAAACAAAACCTCAAATAAATTAATATTTTTAGTGTTACATACACCCACAAAAGCCCCCCATATTAGTTAATGTTGCTTAATATCCAAGTGATTAAACCATTCAACCCAACTTTATAGCCAAACACACCTTTACCCATGATACAAAACTCCATTGTTTCTATTACCCACCCAAAGTTACACTTACACATTGCACCCAATTCTCAAAACCTAAGTAGGCACCTATAGATCTTCCAAATCTCTTTAATGCATTGATTGTTAAATTCCTCAACATAAACTTAATAATTAACAGTAAAGACAGATTTTACCTTAACCAATGGGTGTCCCAAAATCACCAACGTGCTGCCTCCAATCCCTATTGTAGCCTCACTTGAACCTCTCTTCTCTTTTTCTTTTCTTTTTTCTTTTACCTTCTCAAACCCTTGCCGCCTATGGAGCAATTCCCAGCCTCTGTTTTGTTTGTTTCCCAAGACTTAAAGCCATAATATATAGGTGGGCTTATTAACCTAATTTCTCAAAGTTACAAAATTATCCATCTAAGTAATAGGAAATATAATGCCATCTTATAACTAATTCTTTGATATTAATAAATGACCCATATAAATTAATTTAATTACTAATCTATCCAATAAAATAATCCTACACGCAACTTGGGTTTTACATTCTTCCCCTCTTAAAAGAAATTTCGTCCTCAAAATTTGACATACCTGTAGTCTCAAAAAGTTATGGATACTTTTGTCTCATTTCATCCTCAAGTTCCCAAGTAGCTTCTTTCTCCGAGTGATTGCTCCATTGAACCTTAACGTAGTGGATGACTCGACGCCTCAAAACCTGCTCCTTCTTATCAACAATTCTTACAGGGTGTTCTTTATAGGTCAAATCCTCCTTAAATTGCAACGGTGCATAATCAATCGCATGATTGGGATTCGGTATATACTTCTTCAACATCGAAACATGGAAGACATTATGAACTCCAACTAGTGAAGGTGGTAGGGCAAGTCTGTAAGCTACCTCTCCAATTCGATCTAAAACCTCAAATGGTCCAATAAATCTAGGACTCAATTTAGCACGAACACCAAACCTCATTACTCTTTTCATAGGAGACACCTTAAGGAACACATGGTCTCCAACCCCAAACACCAAATCGCGTCTCCTGTTATCTGCATAACTTTTCTGTCTACACTGTGCAGTGCGAAGTCGCTCTCTAATAAGATTGATTTTGTCCACTATTTGTTGCACAATCTCAGGCCCTAACAACTTCCTTTCGCCCACATCATCCCAACAAATAGGTGATCTACACTTTCGTCCATATAAAGCCTCATATGGTGCCATCTGAATGCTCGCATGATAACTATTATTATAAGAGAATTCCACTAAAGCCAAATGCTCATCCCAAGAACCTCCAAGATCATTAATACAGGCCCTCAACATGTCTTCAAGAGTCTGAATAGTTCTCTCTGACTGTCCATCACTTTGAGGATGAAAGGTCGTGCTAAAATTCAAACTAGTATCCAAAGCTGTATGCAAACTCCTCCAAAACATAGATACAAATCTGCTATCTTTATCTGACACTATGGTCACCGGAATACCATGCAACTTCACAATCTCCTTGATATATAATTTTGCAAACCTCTCTAAGGAGAACCCTACCATAAAAGCTAGAAAGTGAGCGGATTTGGTCAATCGATCAACGATAGCCCAAATAGCATTGTTACCAATTAGGTCCTAGGCAACCCTGTCACAAAATCCATGGTAATATGTTCCCACTTCCACTCAAGAATAGGAAGAGGTTGCAACTTACCTGCAGGTCTCTGATATTCAACTTTCACCTCTTGACATACCAAACATTGAGTAACATACTGAGCAATTTCCCTCTTCATATTATTCCACCAAAAGTTCCTCTTCAAGTCTTTATACATTTTAGTGCTCCTTGGATGTACAGTATACCCTGAACTGTGAGCTTTTCTCAGGATTTCTCTCTTGAGCTCTAAATCATTAGGCACACACAACCTCTCTCCAAATCTCAAGGTTCCATCTTTATGCATACAAAATTCCATTTGTAGCCCTATTTCCATTTCAGCCTTAAGTTTTTACAACTGAGGATCTCTTCCTTGAGCATCTTTAATTCTATCAATCAATGTGGGTTGAACCCTAAGGTTTGCCAACTGCACTCCATGGTTGTGCCATCTAATCTCATTATTCAACTTTCGCAAGTCCTCTAAGATATTCTTTTGGTCAGTGATCAAGGTAGCCAAATTACTCGGTGTCTTTC